TTTATTCTTTTTATTTTATTTTATTTTCAATAGTAGCCTCTTCTCCCCTAAGAAAGCAAACATGGTCTTTATTATTATTAGCTTTTTTTTTGTTTTGAGCCGAAAAAGCTTATTATTTTAAAAATTTTATTTCTTGTGTGATATAGTTTTATTGTTGATTTACAACAACCTAACGTAACAGTAACGTTATTTCTCATCACCAAACCAAATTAAATCATATATATACTCCCTCTTATTTCATTAAAATTTTCAGCAAAGTTTTGGTTTCATTTTCATCTTAGGAACTACTATATGCATTCGAAAAGAATATCCTCCCTCTATTTCGTTTTTAAAAATTGATAAGATAGAAAATTTTAAAATAAAGTAATTAATTAATAAAAGAAAAGAATAAAGTCATTTGATTCCCAGAGTCTTGCAAAATGATGACTTACATTTTATACCATAAAACCCTTTTAGAATGTGACTTATTTAAAGCCCCAAACAAGAGGAGTATGATTTCATATAGGCCTAAGTAACATATTACATTAAACAAAATATATTGATATATTGTAGCACCAGCAAATTAACAACAAGTATGTGACTGTGCGCGCGCGCACACATATATAAATAAGAAAGAAATATCAAATATATGATAAAATAAAAGGAAACTTCACCAAAAATAATAATAAAAGGAAACAGAAGACTGAATTTTATATATTACCTCCGATTTTTAATATAGAGCTAGTTGACTAATTTGAAGAGATTAAGAAAGAAAACTAGCTAAGTTAATTATTATAATAAATAGACGTTTTTTTTTTAAACATCCGTGTTAATCGAGTGTGTTAGCTAGAATTACTATTATTATAAAGACTACCTTAAAAAAATAGATAATATTGAGAGATAAAATAGATTAGAATTTTATATTTAAAACTAAAATAAAAATTAAATAAATCCTTAAATTAAGTGGCATTTGTGGTACGGAGCCAGCAATAATTGGGCCAAGTTTATATGATTAAGCATGAAGGGGACTTTGAACCGTTACTCGCCACATTCAATAATGGTAGTATTCATGGTAACTGAGTTTCTTAACTTTCACGGTTATAAGGACATGCTTCGTATCTAGGTAATTGAACCAAGGAGTTGAAATAATGTTAACTATGATGGTCCATGCAGCTCCGAAGGTCTAGAAATAGTGAAATACATACCCCAAGTAGTACGGAATCTCATGCCGGAATGCCCACCGTATTTAATTGGGGGGCGTCAAGCACGCCATGAGCACATTACTCACTATAACCCTCACAATCGGCTCAATTAATACTCCTCCTCAGCTCAGGCCAAAAGAGAAAATCTTCCTTAACTGCTCATTATAGGGTGCTTCTTTAATTAAGCCTAATATTTAATATTATCTCTAACACTAATTATAAAACCTCTTTTGTAATCTATAAATAAGATCTTGTAATTAGAGTTTAAGGTTTAGACGTAATTCAAACAAGATTTTATAATAATGATCGTATGAAGTATAAGATCTAATTTGTAATTCAATTCGAACTATAACTTATACTACCTCCAATCCTTAATATAAAAGTTTGTTTGGTTTTTATTTTAGTCCTAAATATAAGACCCTAACATACTTTGTCTCTCATATTAATTCATTTTTTTCATAATAGTTCTTACTAATATACTTGATTAGTAAGGATATTATAGAAAAGCCAACGTATCTTTATTACAAATAACTAATTTAACTAGTTTTTTTAATGTGTCCAAACTAGTTAATTAGCTCTTATATTAAGAATAGGAGGTAGTATATTAAAGATTGGAGATAGTATTTTTGTTCTTTTTATAAGATGTTTCACATGGTGAAGGAGCGTGGGCAAAAAACAAAATTGTTATGCTTGAGGAGTTATAGAAAGATCCATGCTATCGGAAAATTCAACAAATTTTTCACCACTCGAGCTTCTAAGACAACCCTGTTTCTTTATCTGAGTTTGGGATCGCCATGGGCGAAGTTCGATATGTTTAATAAGTATTCAAATATTTTTTTCTTATATAATATAGTATCACACTTTAATATAACTAATACAAATAGTAATATATTTAAAATTACTCAAAATTTATAATAAATTTAATATTTTTAACAATTTTTATTAGTATATACAAAGTAGATAAAAACGACTGTCAGCAAAATTTAAAAAAAAAAAAGGAAAAAAAGAAAGTACCCATCGTCAAGCGTGGTGGTGGAGCAAATTTTGCACGAGCATAAAATGAAATCAAGTTAGGAGATTCGAAATTAAAAGCCTTACCTTCCCTTGACTCAAAATTTTATTATTTTCCTTGCAAATAGTCAAGTTAATGTTATCTACTCACCTGATACATTACTAATATATGGAAATACAGTCACTATTCACCTAACATAATTAATAATTTAGATTCTCAAATCTTACCCCTTCTCCTTTTGCTGGCCAGGTGGCCATAAGGGGGCGGTTAAAAGTAACAATACTGAAAGTTATGGGCATATGTGGAAAAAAATGACAAATGTAGTAATCCTTCATGGGGAGGTCCGTCGTCATCATGTTTAAAAGGAAAGAGAAGAAAACGTAGAAATATCCTTAACAGCTCGGGGAGGGAAACGCGAGAGGGATAGTCAGAAAGAAAAATATAGTAATAGTACTTTTTTTTCTCTCTCTCCCTCTCTTTTTCTGGCATTTGCTCTTTCTAGTCTGCCTTCATATACATTCTTTGCTTCCTCACGGGATACTATCCCCCTCTCTTTCAATCTCTCACTCTCCCAGTTCTCTCCTCATAACAAGCCGTCTCTGTTACTGAATCCCCCGTTCTTCTTCTGCCATTCTCTTCTTTTCAAGTTCTTCTTTCTAGCACATATCGGATTCGCTGTTATTTGCTTCTTCTAATAACTGGGGCTCGTGTTTCGGGGAATGATTTCTGGGGAAAAGAAAGCCACAGAATAAAGAGACAGAGAGAATGTCGCAGACTGGCAAGCCGATGCAGGGACTGGGGTTCGATTCTCTCACTACTCGATTCCGCGATTTGTTGGCTTCTGACGAGAACAAGCCTGATTTTAAAGAACTCGATCTGGGTTCTCCTGTTTCTCCATTGAAAACCCCTGCCACTGTTAATGCTGCCGGTGCCGGCGCCCCTAACACCTCAAGCTGCAGCTCGAGCAGCTCTGCCGGATCGGTTTCCGGAAGCAGACAAACCGTTGCCAAGTTGCCCTGTAAACCAGACGGGAAGCCCAGCAACAACTCCGGCGAGCTCCGTGAGACCAACTCAAACGCCTGTGAGAGCCTTCAACCGGCTTTGGCATCCCGACGCACCAAGCCGGGTCATAGGAGATCGGTTTCAGCTGGAGCTCCATTAATATACTCCGGTGGAAGTTCTAGCAGCTGGGGGAATAACGGTCATCCAAATGGTGCGACTTCAGGGACTAATTTGCTCCCAGCCGGCAATATTTGTCCGTCAGGGAAGATCTCAAAAACAGGTTTGGCGCCTCGAACACCCAATAGAACTGATGTTTTGGGTTCAGGGACGGTAAACTATGGCCGAGGCAACATAATGCGCGGTGGCGGGAAATTGGGCAATGGAGGGCACGTCATCGTCTACGACAATGTCCCCGGGAACTCTCAGCTGGGAGGGGTTTCGGACATTGTGAAGCGAGCAATGAGTGCTTCAGATCCTGAGGAAGTGAAAAGAGCTGGAAATGAGCTATACAGAAGCGGTAACTTTGCGGAGGCATTGTCGTTGTACGATCGCGCAATTTCGATATCACCCAATAATCCTGCTTACCGGAGTAATCGGGCGGCAGCGTTGACGGCTCTGGGGAAGTTGGCTGCGGCGGCGAAGGAGTGCGAAGAGGCTGTGAAACTGGATCCTGGTTATGCCAGGGCTCATCAGAGACTGGCTTCACTTTATCTGCGGTTAGCGCTCTGTTAGTTTTGTGTTTATAAAGTTGCATCGTGTTTAACTTATATTATATCTATGCTTTTATCAGTATGGTTCTCTTGTAACTGTGTCGTTGACGGAAAAGTACTGCTTTGCTCATCTTTCATCCTTGACTTGGTTTTGATATGCGAATGATTGATCTTAGTTTTGGCATCTGTCACGTGGATTTGATGCTGGTTACTGTGAAAATTTGAACAGTTCTCATAATTTCCGGCTATAGCTTTGGAATACGAACTCTTTTTCCTTGCTTATTCATTTGATATGGTAACAAGAGTTTCTCGTTCTGTGGCAACTTTTCCTTCGTCAAGGCATGTATTAAACATTTTATACATTCGACTTTTGAAAATTCGGAATTTTTGTTGGCTCATTTGAATTTATAAGTAGATGTGGAATTTCTTCAGCTTTGGGCAGGTTGAGAATGCCCAGAGCCACCTCTGTCTCCCTGGAAAACAGGTGGATCATTCGGAACTGCACAAGCTGGGGCTATTGGAGAAGCATTTTAAACGATGTGCAGAAGCACGAAAGATCGGTGATTGGAAAAGCGCACTCAGGGAATCAGACGCAGCCATTGCTGTCGGAGCAGATTTCTCTCCCCAGGTATGCTCCACTCTTGTACATACAAACAAACAAACATATATATAATTTGAATTTCTCAGTGATATTCCATAGTTTCTATTCCCTAAGTTGGGTGAGTTCTACTTGCAGCTTTTTGCTTGTAAAGCTGAAGCCTATTTGAAACTTCATCTGCTTGAGGACGCTGAGTCCACCCTCTCAAACATTCCAAAGCTGGAGGGTTGCTCTCAAACCAAGTTCTTTGGTATGGTTGGTGAAGCGTATGTTCACTTTGTTCGAGCTCAGGTTGAGATGGCCTTAGGAAGGTAAAAATCATCAACTTCCAATGCAAGAAATAGGCATGAATTTTGAGTGAATGGGAAAAACAGTGAACAAGAAAGATGGTTCCTTTTTTTTTTTTTTTTTTCCGGGGCAGATTTGAGAATGCAGTAGCAGAAGCAGAAAAGGCTAGTTTGGTAGACTATAGCAATGTGGAAGTTGCAAGGGTAGTAAATACCGTGAAAATGGTGGCGGGGGCTCGCTCTCGAGGCAACGATCTTTTTGGCCAAGGAAAATTTTCTGAAGCTTGCTCTGCTTATGGAGAAGGCCTCAAGATTGATAGTTCCAACTATGTCTTGTTCTGCAATAGAGCTGTTTGCTGGTCTAAACTTGGGCTGTGGGAAAAGTCTGTCGAGGACTGCAACCATGCCCTGCGAATACAACCAAACTGTACCAAGGCCCTTCTTCGTAGGGCTGTCTCAAATTCAAAGGTGAACTTTTTTGCACTGTGCCTATGTTTGTCTGTTTGTTTCTTCTCTTTCTTTTTGAGCAGTACGGTCACAACTTTTATGGTGCTTTGTCTAATTGTGAATTCTATTTCTTGGGTGATTCTAAATGATTGCTTGACTAATAAATGTTGTGTTCAGCTTGAAAGGTGGGGAGATGCTATAAGAGATTACGAGGCATTAAAGCATGAACTTTCTGGAGACAGTAAAGTTGCTGAGTCTCTCCGTCAGGCTCAGCTTGCATTGAGGAAATCTCGTGGGGAAGAATGTGGTTCAAAACTTGTTGAGGTTGAAGAGGTCTCTACATTAGATAGATTCAAAGCCGCAGTTGCTTCTTCTGGTATTTTCTCCCCAGTAGTTTTAGTGCAGCATTTCTCTTGCCTCGTTGGTTTTGTGTAAAGCCAAAAACCTCAATTTTCAGGTATCTCAGTGGTTCATTTCAAGAAGGCATCTAATGAACGATGTCAAGAAATATCCCCCTTCATAAATACGCTCTGCATTCGATACCCAGATGTTAAATTCATCAAGGTAAAACACTAATTTATGCCTTTCTGAGAAGTATAGACATTGATGCTAACACACTGACACAGAAAACAACCAAGATATACGCATTATTATTTCATAAAATTTGAAGAATCATGTCTTGTCACACACAAACGTGATGTCCAAAATGTGTTTAGGTGGTTATCTTATACGCAAATTACACTTGGTCCTTCTTAACTTGATCCAAAATCAATTTTTCAGGTGGATTTGGAAGACTGTACAAGTGTAGGAAAAGCTGAGAGCATAAGAACTGTGCCGACCTTCAGAATATATGCAAATGGAGAGAAGGTGATGGAGATGATAAGGCCGAGTCATCAGTTATTGGAGGACTCTGTGAGGAACTGTTGTAATCTCTAGCTTCCATAATGTATACCCTTTAATTTTTTTGCAGTCATATGTAGGCGGACTGGCCAAACCCTGCCCTCTTCAGTTCAGAAAGATCAGGAGGGTCAGTTTTTGCCCTGGTACACAAAGTGCACATAAATTTTTCAGAGCTCTAGGCAGATAAACCTCAGGGAAAAATCAGCGTCTTGTTAATTAGGTTTTCAATCATAAATGTATATCTTGTTTCTTCCTTTTCTTTCTTTCCTACTATTTTGCATCATCCTCGTGCCAACTTTATCACAGCAATAACTCAAAACTCAGATCAAAACAATAAATATATTTAAAGGGTATATCAAATTGTCCAAAAAAGAACAATACAATATCTGAGATTTTTTGATTAACAATCTATCTAAAAATTTGACAGTTAGGAGAGTTTAACGTGTCGATCAATCTAGCAAATCTCACCTAAGGGAGTAAGGCTACGTTGTTGTTATCCAAAAATGAACAGGAAAAAATTGTGAATTAGGAACATGGGCATGGCAGGAAGGGAAAAGGCTGTAAAAAGTGTCGAATATTAATTATTGTCCGGTCTGTACTGCTACTTAAGAGTGAGACAGAGAAAAAGATGATGGGGGAAGAAAATGACTAGGAGGCTTGGCTGGGGGCAATTATTTGTCATCAAGCTAGTATTTGATAATATTGGAGGACCTTCTTGGTCCTCTGAGCGTACCACCTCTTTCTTGCTCTACACGTCAGGTATGCATGGCATTTGCATAAAATTATAAACCATAATAAAATTATATTGTGGGTCTCACCATTTTCTTTTTCTGAAATTACTATCTCCTCCCCAGTGGCCCCTCTTCTCTTCTTCCCTTCTCTTTCCTTACCAACAAAACTTAATCCGAGTCTCAGCTGCTAACAATGGAGTGAGAGACTATCATAGAAGAAAGATTTTAAACTTGAATCCAAACCCTACCCCTTTTTTGTTTGGATGGGGAAAAAATTAGGAAGGAAAACTTTCTAAAACGATAAAGACTTTTTTATTATTTTTAAAAGTTTTTAACTAGTATTTTTTTCTCTTATTTTCTTCACTTTTCTTTCAATCCAAACAGAACGGATTTCCGCTGTTTATGTTGGAGAGTTTAAAATGTTTATAATAAATTTAAGAAATATGGAATAGTTTAGAATTTTTGGAGAATTATAATTGGGCACTTCTTGTCACTATCCATACTATTATGACGTAAAAAGGCAAGGCCAAATGCCTAAACTTATTACAATTATACTCATTAATTCCATATTCTTTGAAGAGTGGTTCAATTCATATTTTAAGCGCTTGTTGAATAAGTTGTGTTTTATTTCATTGTTATCAATTATTATTTCACCAAAAAACAATTTTTGGCCAAAGGAAATTATTTTACCAAAAAGTTATGGCTTCCATTATTAATTACTACTAGTCATACCTACGAAGGAGGGGAACGCAGGAGATTACAAACTAATTACGACAAAGGAAAAAAATATATATATATTTAAAAAAGATGTAACAAACTCAACGAACTCACGTGACACGGAAGGGCTTATGAATAGGCCACATTCATTTTTGATTTCCCTCCCTTGTATGCCTTCCTCAGTTTTCACTTCTTTTGTTTTCACTCAGAGCTGCAGTGAACGACAATGGAGCCGCAATCGCAGACGCAGATCCAAACTCAAACGCAACCGAGCAAGACTAGCTCCAGAAAACGACAGGGGAAGAAAGACAAGTTATCTCTGGAGGACTACCTCGATTTCCGCCGCTCCCTTAAAACGGTTGATCTCAATATAAACCTTCTCAACCAGGTTTTCCTTTCCTCCTATTTATTTATTTCTTTATTATTATTCATTGATTAATTCCTTGTCTATTTCCGAGTTCAATTTGAAAGTTATTCATCCACGACATTTGCTTCATTTTGCAGATCATCTATATCCATGGCTTCAAGAAACTGTACGGACAGACCAAGGTCATACACTCGCTCTTTGCACATGCTGGTTTTGAGTCTCTGTTTGGCTGCCGAGAAAATGGCAATGAAAGAAATGTTACTGGTTTTCTGTTTACTTAACTACTTTTTAAGAAATTCAAACTGAAATATCATGCAGAAAAATGGTAGTCCTCGATTATTGAATTTCTAATTGATTTCACAGAAAGTGTTGGTGGATGCCGTGAATACGCTTGATCTAATGGATTTGCCGAGATCCACACTCAACCAGAGTGTGTCTGCCTCCGCGACTCTCCCATTGGAGGACGTAATCGCTGATCTCAACGAACTAGGCTGGCAAGAGTGCTGTGTTACCTCTGTTTACACCCTCAGTTCTTGCCCAGAGAACTCCCTCCCTCTTGAGCAGAAACCGCAAGTCACCAAACACTTGCAGAGCAGTTCTCGAACCAAGACTTCGGAAAAGTCAATGGACGCTAATAAAATCAGTGGCGGCCTCCCTAAAGCTTCCCAAAATGGCCGGCGAGCCCCGAAAATGGCGAACAAGCGCAAGAGGATCAATGGCTGTGATGCTCTTGACTGTGCTTCGACCATGGATTCGGCCGTCTCGCTCGCCTCTAATTGAATGTGATGGTTCGTTCCCCCCCCCTCCCCCCGCATGTACTTCAATTTCTACTCATAATGCTGTTGCTAGATGTTTCCATTGTTAATTTGTACCTTTTTGACTTTTTCCTTATTATTTTTGCTTGGAAAAAAGTTGGATTACACAGTAGCTGGAGAATGCATCCACAACTTTATATCAATATTATTTCCATGTCCCGGTGGTCAAGCTCAAAGGGAATTGAAGTTAGGTATATGATTTAACTATTTGATTTGGTCTCAGTGACATGAATAATTTGTATACTTGCGGGTGTCTTACGGCGTGATTAAGCTACTTAATGAATATTACAGAATTTTACTTAAATTTTATCCAAATGAAAATTGCCCTAGCTAAGAATGCTAGCTATTATTGGTCTTTATTTACACCAGACAAGTCATATGGGTATCATGGGCGTGGCACATGAAGTTCAATTGCGGATATTCTTAGCATGGCTTAATGAGTACTAAGAAAGTAGAAGACTAGTTAGTCAGCTTCAGTGCGTCTGTCTCTATGGTCTTGCTTAAAATTTCATGTGAATATTCACCAAGAAAGAGAACAAGGAATTTAACTTCTTTGAAGCTTGTGAATTTAAATTCCTGAAGGGTTTGAATTGGCACCCCCTGAATTGCTATTTGTTCCATGCCAGGCTACCAAAAAGAACAATGAATTTGTTTACTGGCGACGTACGAACTCTACATCAAAGATAGAGATTGGCGATGAGGACCGAGACTACCATTCCAGTGGCTTCGCGTAGTGCCAGCACTGTTCTCACCCCCAAGCATTTTAACTTTCCCCATTTATAGAAAATATCCCACTATTTGCTCCCATTCTTCATCGAATAATATGAATCAATTTAGAAATAATGGAATTTCTATTTTTTTTACTGAATCACATGAAACAGGAATAAGAGCGCGCTTAAAACCCATGTTCACTATAACTACTTTTCTTTATCTCTTTAATGACACCACATGCAACCCAATCATAGACCATCGAGAGCCTGGAGCCTCGGACTCCACCTTTGGACTCTCGTCTTTTATAGTATCAAGGTCCTTCACTTCTTCCTCTTCCGTTGACATATATTAAAAATGCTCTGACAATTTCCTTATGATCGTGTAAATGTGCTAACCGTCAAACACATCCTCTAATGACTTGCTTAGCGATCATTTGTTATTGTTAACTTGGCACCTATTTTTAGTAAAATAAATCTACCTAAGAATCCTAGGGATTGAGATTAAAAACACGGTAACACGGTAAAAGTATTACGGAAGAATCTTCAATAGCAGCAGCCCCATATACGGCTGCAGCATTTTCCATTGGTACAAGAAATACAGCATAAACAATTCTTCTCAATAAACCCTCCCACGGAAAAGGAGGAAAAGCTTTGGGGGGATGAAATAGGCCATTTTCAAACACCACACAGAAAGGAACAGACCATAATAAGGCACAAAGTTTTTCCCCCGTTGGGAAGTGTGGCCAATCGACAAGAAACATTTAAAAAAAAAAGGAAAAATAAATAAAAATAAAAATCGGGACCCTATCACTAGCTAATACACAGATGAGTTAACGGCGGCCCTCACGTCTCACCCCGAACACATCAACTCTTTAACGGTGCTACCTCCCATCCTCCTCACTGCACAGATGAAATGAGATAGATAAGTAAATTAGAGCAATCAAACAGAACGATCAATGATAACTGCCATGAACAAAGAAATTACTCACCTCTGCATCCTCGCCTCCGCCAACCTTGGCAGTGCCATTCACTTTCTGGGCATCTTCTGTAGCAGCAGGAACAGAAAACTCAGAGTGCTAGATAAGTAATGCCAAACAGAAAAAGATCCTCGTACTAATTGGTCAGACAAAAACTGCGCTTTACAAAAAGGAATGAGATTCCCATAACGCTAGGTCCTCAATCAGATATCAGCGAATGATGAATAGTTTATCATCACAAGGAAATGTTAAAAACTAACTCAGATTCCTCCCTGAAAACTGTCAATTATCTAGATTCTCTACCAAAATAAGTGTCCATTAATATTTCATAAACTTAATTCATCTCAGAGCATCATCATTTGAAAATTTACAGAACCCAGCTTTTTAACAAAACAAGGGAGGATAACTCACAGTTTGCAGACTAATCTACTATATTCAGGTTTTACCCGCATTTATAAGAGCCTCAATCAAAGCTCTAAAAGGACTGACCACGTGATGCACGTGTGAAACTCTTGGCAGATATCAAAACTTCAACAACAGTGTATCTTTATATATTTGATTTCCAACCAACGGCAGAAGCTAAGAATCATGGAAACTAACACAAAACAAGTGCGGCCAAATCTGAAGAGTTCAGTGGTTTCTTCCAAGTGTTCCACCACGTATGTCAAAGGCATGTGGAGCACAGACTTGACAAAGCGCTTTTTCGGAACATGAACATAACAGATACTTTATGACTATAAAGAATACAAGGCAGATCAAATGATAAACACTACCTAAAAGATAAGGAATGTATATGCATGCTAGCACTTTCAAGCAACTGAAGGACATCAAAAAGCTACGATAATTAAAGCATAATAGATGATTTCAGAAATTTAATCAATAAATTGGAAATAAAAAGAATGAAAAAGAAAAAAAGAAAAAAAAAGAAAAGAAGAGTGAATTATAGGCCTTTCAAATCGATCACCTCCATCTTCTGGGATGTCAGAAGTCCAAAGGGTAAGGTTGTCCCTGAGAAGCTGCATGATCAATGTGCTATCTTTGTATGACTCCTCATTCAAGGTGTCAAGCTCAGAGATAGCTTCATCAAAAGCTTGCTTCGCAAGATGACAGGCCCTGGAAGAATAAAAACACAATATCCCACATGAAACACAATAACATTAAGAGTGTGTTTGGATGAAACCAAACCATGGTTTGGAGAATAGCTTCTGGAGAATATATTCTGAAAAAAATAGATTTTGGAAATAATAGATTTTGTGAAAAAGTGATTTTGAGAAGTGTGAGTGTTTGGATAGTTGTTATTAGAAGTACTTTTTATATATACAAATTGGCATAAATTAATATGATAATTATAGAAAAAATATATTTTATGATATATTTTAATTTGAAGGAATAAAATTGTTAATAATATATTTTTTATTAACATATATTAATAATATATAAGATACTCCCTCTGTTCCTTATTATAAGAGACAAATAACCGAAATACGTTGATAAAAAAAAATAGTTAAAATTAGTTAAGAACAATTAATGTGTAAAAAGTATAATTTTTTTCCAAAAATGCCCTCATTAATAAGGAGAGAGAACATGAGAGAGAATAATTAAATTATTAAAAGAAAGAGAAGTGAGAGGGAGAGAGAGTGTGAGTTGGAGATAATAAATATGGGTAAAATAGTAAATCAACACATAAAAGTAGAAACAACTTGTAAATGTCTCTTATATATAGGAACATGCCATAAACATCAAATGTCTCTTATAATAAGGAACGGAGAGAGTAATATAATTAATAAATAATTAATATGTATATATATATTTATAAGATATAAGATTAAATATATTTATAAAAAATATGTTTATAAGAAAAACAACAAGATACATATCCTATAGGCTCTCACACTCTCCCCCTTTACCTCTAAAAGTAAAAAATTTCTGCTTTTCTCAAAACCATGGTTTTGAATCCAAACCATGGTTTTGATTTTTTTAAGGGTGTTTGGCTAACATTTTTTCCAAACCATGGTTTGGGGTGCTTGCCAAACACACCCTAAGTAGCATTACAGAAAGAAATCATATCCACAAACCTTTCAGGTGAATTCATGATCTCATAGTAGAAAACTGAGAAATTTAGAGCCAGCCCCAATCGGATGGGGTGCGTCGGGGGCAATTCAGCCTCTGCTGCTGCGGTAGCAGCCTACAATGGAACAAAACCATATCACTGGTTGAAGATAAATGGAATAAAGGACACAACCAAAATGGGGGGAAAATAAGAAAAATTTCTCATGGTTCTGAGCAATATTAAACAGGTATAACTTACCTTAACTGAACTCAGCAAATAATAATATATACTATCATGTAAAACGCAAACATAATAGATCAGAGAATTTGAATTGCACCTCATATGCTTTCATAGACTGATCAGCAGCCTCTTTCTTTTCGTTGCCTGATTTGAATTCTGCAAGATAACGATAATAATCCCCTTTCCTGCAACCAGAAACATGCCATAATTTTCCTATAGGAAACAAATTATAATACACTAACATATTCAGGAGGGAATGAGGCATGAGCGCTCACATCTTATAGAAAAACACAGTTGATTCACCAACAGTAGCAGAAGGTATGAGGTGCTCATCAATCACCGTCATAACATCATTACAGATGTTTGAAAGCTCTGCTTCAACTTTGTGCCTATATTCCTTAATCCGTCTGGCATTTACTTCATTCCCTTTTGTTTCTTCTTTTTGCTCTATTGAGGACAGTATCCTCCATGATGCTCTGCGAGCACCAATTACATTCTTGTAACCAACAGAAAGTAAATTTCTCTCTTCAACGGTCAGCTCAACATCTAGATTTGCAACCTTCTTCATAGCATCCACCATCTCTGTTACAAATGGAGGCAGGAACAATATATTGTAAGTCAAAATTTGTAAGTTACAAGTTAACCGCCGAAATCTGAAGTCAAAATAAACATACCCAAACGCACTCCCTGCTGATAGGGGGAGAAAAAAGAAAATTCGTTGGCAAAAATACTTGTTATAACAGAAATACTTCAAGTGTCATGCCAAAACCTACATGCAGTTCCCCAAAATCCCACGCTTCCAAGGAATTTAAAGCAGTTCAGGCTGAAACCGAAGCTCTGTTTGTTGAGGTCAGTTCAGGCTGAAACTAAAGCTCTGTTTGTTGAGGTTATAAAACTTAAAAGACTTCCCAGGATAATTTAAACCTTTTAGCCTAGATAAACTAATTGGTGTATTGTTCAGGGAAGTTGCTCAAAAACATTCCGCAAGTTTCATCGAAGTAACCAAATCTGACGAATTTTTTTCAACCCAAAAAAATAAAAAAAGTCCTGCTTGGACCGATGGATGATTGAATTGGACTCCCATTACCTAACTCAAAGGCGAAAAACTCAAATCTCAGAAAAAAGTTTTAGAGTTAGATTTCCCACGACTTTCAATTAAAAACAACCATATCCAAATCAAATTACTACTCAACACCAAATTTGAAGCATCAAAACAAAACCACAGGACGAAATTAGCAGAGAATTAAACGGGATCAAGCTTCATAGTGACAAAGAGGGAGGTGGAAAAAAGCAGACGGATATACACTCATCAGACTGAAATCGAAGCAAAGCCCGTAGCTTTAATCTATGAGAAAACAAAACGAAGACATTATATGATCCAAAATCAAGTCGATTAGCAAAATAAAGGAGAAACACTAAGATGAAGCCCTAACCATCGTATCGCTCGGCCTGCTCAGCAAGCTTGGCGACATACACGAAATTCTCGCGCTCTTTGGAGGAAGCCATGGCCGATCTCCTGGAGATTAGGGTTGGGGGATTCGGGCAATCGGGGCTCCGCTCAGCGAAATCTCAGCCCTTTGTTCTTGTAGCTGAGGCCTTTGGAAGCTCTGCGAGACAACTGAAAAAGAGAGTGTCGCTGTCGTAACAAAAAAGCTGATTTGTGTGAAATGTCAAATACCCCCTTCCTTTTTCCTCTTTTTTTCCCCCATCTTCACACATCTTGTCTTTCTCGAAATTCCCCGCAACAATTCCTAATTTTGTTTTTTTTTAAATGATATATAATCTATAATAATGCTATTAGTACTAATTAATTCAACTACAGCTTGGCCAAAATGTTTAATTATAATTTATTTGTACCCAACTACGCACTATATATTATTGAAAAATTAGATAAAAATTTAAGAAATTAAACTTCCATTTGATTTATTTTTTCGTATTAATTTTTTACTTATTTTCTTTCGCAAAAGGAAGTAGAAATACGGTAAACTTCAACAAGAAGCGATTAATTTTTGACTTTGTCTCTAAATTTATTGAAAACATGACATTTATGTTCGGTAGTAACATAGGCTTGTAGGGAAGATAAGGCAAAATAAAATTACCTTAAAAAATAAAAATTTAAGCATAATATAATAGATGGATATTATAAGTAAAATAAAATGTTTTTCTCCTATTATAACGGTTTTCATCTGAGTTTTTGTTAATTACTCTCATCTCTTTGATGAGGCTTGAACACGAACTCTTACGAAACAGTAGTAAATAATTACGGAAGTTCTGTTGATATTTTTTTTTTTAAAAAAATGGATCACTTACAAAATCATTATAATTACAAAAACGATATATACACCAATCAGTGGTGCCCACGTCAACGGACAAACAAATAAACTCAAAAGTGGAACGAATTGAAACGTGACACGTTATGCCCTTGGCCAATAGGAATATGATTCTTGTGTAGGGTCGATAAGAACCGGGTTGGTCCGGTCCACGCATCCGATACCTTGGATGGCCAGGTCTTATATGCTTCGCTTGGCTTGACTTTTATTTCTTTTTTATCTTTTTAATTATTCTTTGGACTAATCTTTAAAAATAAAATAATTCGGTTCCTTCAAATATAAGCATCAAGTTGACCCAAAATACACAAGCATCAAAGTTTATTCACTGGATATGTTTTAGTCCACGATTTAAATGCTTTCTTTAATCAATAGATAAGGATATTCACTTATTCAATTATAAGAGAGAATATAAGAAAGATGTTCCCATATTGATCACTATGCTTATAAAGCAACCATTAACACAAATTAATAGGATTTGAAGCCGCCCAAATTGAAAGATCAGAACGCAATTCCTGTCTGATAAATATGGGTGAATTTCCATTTTTTATTTCAATATTATATTAAATTATAAGAGGGGTTCTGAAATAATAATAATAAAATTACTGTCATGTGACTTGATGATGTTCAAATTCTCAAACACAGTCCCTCTTTAATGCTTGAGAAGTAATTAATAAAGCATTAATATTTATATTACATTTTAAAATATATTTTTTGAAAAAAATAATATGTGAAATTAGTTTCCAAAATACTGATATAATGGTAAAAACAAACGGGAAAATTAAAAAAAAAAAGCCGTTCGCCTGTACAGATAATTGTAGCAGTTATAACAGAGAAACCGCATTGTTGTTGTTGTTATTATTATAATAAAGGGTTCAATAGAAAGAGACAACATAACGGGCTATGGCGTAGATGTAGAGGAATAGTGAGGTCAATAAGTATGGAAAACTCCTCAGTCTTAGCTTCGAAATCATCATTCAGAAGTTGGTCCCAACAATTTTTTTTTTTTTAAAAAAAAGATGATATCATCACGGAGAAAACTACCAACCAGCCCATTATTGCCATCATTTTGTGAGCGTGGGCGTGCGTGGGGTCCGGTTGGCGTTCTGAGATTCCTCTCGTCGGAGTTAGGCTCACAAATTGGGCTTCACAAAATGGGCTTTATTGGACTCTCTTATGTCCAAAATGGTTCTTGCTCTTTATGGATAGCTGTTTGCAAGAAGACTTGGAAAACGCTAATAGCGTAATAGCCCAAGGGCATTAAGGGGGTGTTTGGTAACCTCCAAACTATGGTTTCAGAAGCACTTTTCTACAAAACGAGACAAATTCCTCCACATATTTACTTCGTAAACCGTAAAAGCACTTCTGAAACCATGGTTTAGTTTCTATCCAAACACCCCCTAATACTCTTACGTAAGCGAAAGTTCGTGGATTTAGTCCAGCCTATAGCTTCAAATTGTTTGTAGCTACCCTTTTTAATTGCTAAAAAAAATAGAGACCAGAAAAACCATTTGATTGTTTTCTTATTTTATAATACTTCCGGTCTTAATTATAAGAGCTAGTTGACTAATTTAAGGAGATTAAGGAAATAAGTTAAGTTAGTTATTTGTAACGAATAGGTAATGTCTTTTCTAAAATAACCTTGCTAATCAAATATCTTGGTTAGAACTATCATTATTAGAAAGACTTCCTCAGTAAAAAAAATACATAAATATGAAAGACAAAATAAATTAGAGTTTTATATTTAAGAATAAAATAAAAGTCAAATAAGGTCTTATATTAAGGATCGAGGGCAGTATTAGTTATTACATCCTCCTATTACAGGCATATTCGGAGGGTACTAAATATTGTGCATTCTACCTAATAAAGATTTAAAGATTGATTTATCACATTGTGAAGAAATAGTCACATTTGTTAAACTCGATCCTCCATAATTAGATTGTTTTTCTTCGCCAGCAGATTGTTTCTCTTTTGATCCCGAGTAAGGAGGTGGTATTATTATTGAAGAGTTGAATTTAAGTTAATCGTGATGGTTCAAAAGAAAACTCACATGCTTAAAAGCATATACCAAAGTAATTGCAAACACATTATAGAACTAGCCTTCACATGCAATTTTTGTAGTGATTTGCTCCCCCAGATAAAATTAACCAAAACAAGTTTCTCATCGATCCTTCCATTCAATCAACTGAACATTAACTAAAACAACAATTCACTTTGGTGTGTGCAATTAATAGCAAAGACCTTGATACATTGTTGTACGCACCGCTGAAACTAAAAAACAGAGGCGGTGCATATACACAAACCATTCACAATTACCCTATGCAGCTAGAAACTGAAGAACTAGGTACTGCAGATTGATTAATTCTGGTACTGATCCCTATTTCAGCATTAAATCATCAAGTAAAATGGAAAGCAACGTTAATCAGTTTTGGAGATTCAAAGTACGAGGCTGGAAGATGAAGGATCACATAATTGAGCAGGCGTGAGGGTTGTCATCACTGAAAGCAGAACCAGCTTGATGGCCAATGACAGAAGAATGAGAAGGATACTGATAATAACGAGGATCGCAGCTATCATAGCCATGCTTGTAGTAGTTGTAGGACGAACTTGGCTGAGAGGTATATAAGTTCACCGGTCCATTACAATGGTGCTGCTGAAAGAATTGCCCCTCATGAAACTCCGTCGTGTACGGCAGCTGCCACACCTCCGCCCTCCGCCCCGTCTTCCTCACCGCCTTCAGAACCTTCTTCTGATCCGCCCACCCCGTCACCGTCACCTTCTGTAACTTCATGTCTATCTCCACCTCGTCCACACCTGAACAAACACACAATCATCCACATATAATTAGGGTTTTCATTTTTCATCATCATGCCCGATCAAGCGTATGTTCTCCTATCTTCAAGTTCGTCTCAGATTATATATATACCTTTAAGCTTTTCAAGTGTACTTTTGACCTTGCTTTCACATCCTGCGCAATCCATGTGCACTCTCATCTCTATGATCTGAACGCGAAAGAATAAGAAAATGTTTCACAAAATTCCTCATGCATATATGTATATATAGAACAAATATAGAACCAAATGAAACTAAGAATTGTTATTGATGTACCGTCATGATTTTGGTAGCGATAAATTGTTTCCTGAGAAGTTGTTGCAGATACGGTTTTTGAGCGTTGTGCATTATTATGAGGAGAAGAGCCTCAGCATATATAGAAGAGGGGGCTTGTTCTTGGGATTAAATTATATTAAGGATGCTTCATTATTTTTGAAGTATGAATTAAATAGAAGGGCTTGACTTCACCGACTTTTGGCAGTTTGAAGGAAAATAAAAATGAGAGCTGAAGGAAAGGGGTCCAATCGATGCCTTTGTTGATGGATCAGAAACACAAGAGGGAGCAGGAGAAATGGCAGGCACATGTGTTGCCTCGCTTTAATATATAATCCATTCACTTAATAATTTATTATGCTCTAATTTTGTTTGATGAAATTATTATGCTCTAATTATTATAATTAACTGTGTGGGTTTTGACTTTCTGTCCCTTCTTAAATTGGAGAAATAAATTAATTAAACATACTCTTCATTGCAAGGATGAAGGGGGCATGTATGGATGTAATCAACGGACTTGCATATATTAGTTTCAGTTTCTCATACGTTATTTGAAATTTAAGAAATAAGAGTTATACTTTTCATGATGTATAAATAAAGCGTGATATATATGATTTTTCAGACTTGTGAGCCTTTTCTTGAGTTATCAGCTTAAATTAGTGACTTTTGAGCCTTTTTACAATCTTGAATAACAGGGTCCCATACAATTTTAATTACTCTGTAATAGCAAAATTGCATGGAAATTATAGTTCCAATTAAATTTTTGAAAAAAGAATTAAATATAAAAATAAAATAAATTTAAATTTTGAAGAGTTATGTTATAAAGGAACGTTAAGTTGACTACTAGGAGGCAATGCACATGCGCAGAAGCGAGACTTTAGTGGATCCCAAGTTATTCAATGCTTTTTGCCGACCTCACTACACTTGTACATTTCTGATTGTCAACGTCCAACAAAGTATAATGCCCATTTGGTCTCTTTTCTTTTCTTCTTCTTTTTTAATATAGATCAGTTGCAAATGATTTAACATATGGAACTCAAATTTTGGCTAATTTTGATGTGTTGGATTGTTTTTTGAGCCTACTAGTTGGAATTTTATGTTTTTTTTTTTTGGATTTCTCCTCCGGTATCCCAGGGAAATAGGCGTCTTTCAGCCGTGACAATGTCCCCAGACTAATCCGGATCGAGAGCTTGCAAGGAACCTTTCGGTCGGCGCCCTCTGGCCCCTCAGGGTGCTGCGGAATTTTATGTTTTATATGTTCATGATACTACTGCCTTCTCTGCGGTTGTGTTGTGTCTGTTATAATGTGTTTTTATTTTTAGACTCTAAGCAAAACCATTTTACTATGGTTTTATGGTTTTATTATGCATATCTCTATACCTATGGTAATTAATAGCCGATTTTTTCTTTTTATCTTATTGTCGTTATTGATTTATATATGAATATGTATAAAGCATGAAGCAAGCCATACGCTAACGGTATGCTTTCCATACTTTATATAGTAATATTGAATTGCGTTTGATTAAAATTAATGCACTATGTTGAATATTCCAAAAGGTGCCGTGTTGTGTCTGGCTTCTGCTTCAACCAAAATCATTTTAATTATTTAACTATTTTTTTCAGCTTTACCGAAATAATTAGAAATGTTTTATATTTAAAATCAGAGAAAATATGAAAAAGTATCGTGTTAAAGTGGTCATTATGCTATCATGGCCAGCTCTTGCACTACCCGTTCCATGCCTTGGACTTTCTAGAAGCCATTGCTTGCTTCCGAATGAATTATTTTAGGGCTTAAAATAAGAACAAAGTCTGTTGGGCTTGTTGTTTTTGGGTTGGGCCTAGGAGGAACATGGCCCAAGCAATATGCAATTGCTCCTTTGTAATTTTCATAATCTTCCAAGGTCCAATTCGAGTTTTTAGATTTTACCAACAAGCATGTTATCCTTTTCCTATATTTAAGGATTATTTGAAATAATTGAGAAAATGCGCTGAACTTATTAAGTTGACCCATTAAAGCTTAAAAACAGTTTGTTGGGCTGCAAATTTTTGAAGCAGGTACATTCACCTGTACAAGTGCATGGCCTTTTTTTTTAAATTAAAATTAAAATTCTTTTATTAGTTATTTAATTATGTGGATTTGAACATATTTCTTTCCACATCTAATTTTGCCACACGTCACTTTAATCTTAGGGTCAGGGAGAATGACAACGATATAAAAATAAATACAGGTAGCTTCCTTAATTGCCATTCTCACTTTAATCTTTTTTTTTTTTTTTGGGGACTGAACCCTTAAATCTAAATTTTCCCTGAATGACAATGATATACAATAAATAAAGATAACTTCCTTAAAATAAAGGGGAAATCACAAATAAAGACCCTTGAATTAGCAAAATCACTCTATGGTCACCTGAATATGCTAAATTACTATGAGGGACCTAGTCTCAAATTGTAATTATGAAATCATGGCCAAATTACCACAATACCCCTCTTTAATTTTTTTTTTTTAAAAAAAGAAAGCCACTGCCTCACCGGAATCCGGCCACTGTCGGCGGCAGGACGCCGGAGTCCGGCCACTGTCGGCGGCAGGACGCCGGAGTCCGGCCGCCGGAGCTCCGGCGCCGGCGGTCGCTTCCGGCGGTCTTCCTTTGTTTTTTTTTTGAAACTGTTTTTTTTTTTTTAAATTGGGGGGAAGTGAGGTTGGGGGGATTTGATCCCCCAACCTAATGCTTCCCAAAATAAGGAATGACCATTGAGCCAACAAATTTTTGTTAACATTATGATGCAAAAAAAAATATAAGTTAACTCATTTACTCTTGTTCCAGGTGATAACAACAATACATTTGGAAATAACAAGTTCTGATTGTAAAATAACACGTCTGGAATAAAAATTTAACAATATGTTTTTTTTATAACAATAAATTTTGTTGCAGGCAATAACAACAATACATTTAAAAATAACAAGTTCTGATTATAAAATAACAAGTTTGGGATTAAAATTTAACAACACGTTTTTTTTTATAACAACACATTTTATTTCAAGTGATAACAACAATACATTTAAAAATAACAAGTTCTGATTATAAGATAATAAGTCTGGGATTAAAATTTAACATGATGTTTTTTTTATAACAACACACTTTGTTTCAAGTGATAACAACAATACATTTGGAAATAACAACTTCTGATTATAAAATAACAAGTCTGGAATTAAAATTCAACAGCACCTTTTTTTTATAACAATTAATTATTTTATACTTTTGGAAAATAAATTATTTATAACTTATAAAAAGTACTTGTAATCTATTTAATTTGCTAAAAAAATAATTTTTATCTCCAATTTATAACCAGAACTTGAAGTATAATTTTTTATAGATTAAAAATACTTTTTTATTGTTCAAATTTATAAATAAAATTTAGGAAAAATGGCAACACACTTTTTTAATTTTTTTTTAAAATTTTTAATTTATATATCTATACAACTTATTATAAATCAAACTACTTCTTATAAATTATAAATAGTACAATTTATTGTGGATTAAAAATACTTTTTGACTGCTTAAATTTATAAATGAAATTTATCTCTAATTTATAATTAAAAATACTATTTTATTCTTTAAATATAAAAACTATTTTTAATATTTAAAGAATGAAATAATATAAAATTTATACTATGATTAATAAATCAAAAATGCCTTATTATAAATACTTTATAATTTATAAGAAGTAGTTTGATTTATAATGAGTTGTATAGATATACAGATTAAAAAGTATTTTTTTAGAGAAATAAATATATTAAAAATATTTTTTATAAGTTATAAATAATTTATTTTTAAAAGTATAAAATAATTAATTGTTATAAAAAAACGTGTTGTTAAATTTTAATCATAGACTTATTATCTTATAATCAGAACTTGTTATTTTTAAATGTATTGTTGTTATCACTTGAAACAAAGTGTATTGTTATAAAAAAAACGTGTTATTAAATTTTAATCCCAAACTTGTTATTTTATAATCAGAACTTGTTATTTTTAAATGTATTGTTGTTATTACCTGCAACAAAATTTATTGTTATAAAAAAATATTGTTAAATTTTTATTCCAGACGTGTTATTTTACAATCAGAACTTATTATTTCCAAATGTATTGTTGCTATCACCTGGAACAAGAGTAAATGAGTTAACTTATATTTTTTTTTGCATCATAATGTTAATAAAAATTTGTTGGCTCAATGGTCATTCCTTATTTTGGAAAGCATTAGGTTGGGGGATCAAATCCCCCAACCTCACTTCCCCCCAATTTTAAAAAAAAAAAACAGTTTCAAAAAAAAAAACAAAGGAAGATCGCCGGAAGCGGCCGCCGGGGTCCGGCCGCCGACAGTGGCCAGAAGCGGCCGCCGGAGCTCCGGCACCGGTGGCCGGATTCCGGTGAGGCAATGGCTTTCTTTTTAAAAAAAAAAAAAATTAAAGAGGGGTATTTTTGTAATTTGGCCATGATTTCATAATTATAATTTGAGACCAGGTCCCTCATAGTAATTTAACATATTCAGGTGACCATAGAGTGATTTTGCTAATTCGAGGGTCTTTATTTGTGATTTCCCCTAAAATAAATCATGAAAAATAATTTTTTTTAATAAAAAGTTACGACACTGTTCAAACTCGATCCTAAAATCAACCCTCAAAATCATATATCCCGGCAAAAAAAAAAAAAAAACCTACAAATTACATCGCCATGCACCCATGGTTCTTACTGCAAATCTGGAGAAAAATCTCTCATGATCAAATCAGATCGGTCTTGTCTGATATATTTCTGGATTGAAATAGGCCCTGTTCATTCAGTTTAGGCATAATTGTAATAACCAAAACAATAGATAATCTGAAAACTCAAACCTTCTTCGCGTCTCTGCATCAATGGGATTCACTCATCTTTCTCCTTCTTCTTCTCAATCCATGCCTCTCACCAGAACCGACAATTTCTCCGTTGGCCAAGCCGTCGAAGTCACCAACAACCCTCCAGGCTCTTACTTTGAAGCCACCGTAATCTCGCGCCTCTCCAATGGTTCCTATGTCGTCGAGTACGACACACTGGTAAACGACGACGGCGACGACGTTCGTGATGACAGTTTCTTCACCGAGACGGTTTACCCTGACGACCTTCGTCCCCGGCCGCCACCCGTCGATGTTCCAGCCGCCGGGTTTTCTCTGAACCAAAAGGTGGATGCCTACGAAAACGAGGCCTGGTGGGCCACTACCGTCACCGGAAGAAGGGACTCAAATTATTATTTTGTTCGCTGTGTCGCCGGAGACAGTGACGTTATGGTTCATTCCTCTCAGCTTCGGGTTCATCAGGACTGGATCGGGGGACGATGGGTTTTGCCCTAGAGATTGAGTTCTGATTCAATTTGTGATCCGATCAATAGACTCCCTTTTTTCAGATTACGTTTTGATTTTTCTTGGGAAAAATATTACACTTTGATTTTTGTTTTTGAGATCAAAACTCACGGTATTCATAATTTTTAGATAAGATGCGGATAGTATGATAGTTATTCTTAGTATAAGACTTATTTAACTAATTTAAAATTAAAAAAATTAGATAAGTTAGTTAATTATAAAAAATGTGACAAGTTTTTCCTAAAATACCATAATCATATTTCTTAATACATTTTCTTTATTTTTTAGTTGGTTATGGTTGAGAGAGTATCTATAAAAATAATTTAGAGAAAATTGATAAATATAAAAAATGAGACTTATATTTAAGATCAAAACTAACTTAACAATTGAATCCTATATTAATAATTGGAAGAGTATATAAATGCTAGTAATTCTTAACTTTAAGAATAATTATATACTCCTCACATTCAATTTATAGGACCGGAAAAAAAGTTCCTTTAATTTTTATTTATACATCACATTATTAAATTTTTAATACGAATATTTAGTGACCAGATAATGATAAAAAAATTTATGACTCCTATTGGCCCCAAAAAAGATCAACGTTCATATGGATGTACGGGTTATTGGGCTTGAAAACAAACATAGGATATTCAATTGGGCCTTGGCCTTTTAAAAATGCTAGCTTAAGTATGTCGGCCTTTTAAGTAAAATTGGACCAAGAAAGGGCCTATCACGTTTTGGTTTTTTTTTTTAGGCCGTGGTTTTGGTGAATTAGTATTTTATGGCCAAATTTATTAAAGTTGTCACCAAAAACTAATCAGCTAATTAACGGGGTTGGGTCTAGTAGAAAATCTTAATCCCTCGACATAACATATCAAAGTTTAAACTCCATTTGAAAGAAGTGACTATATTTACTGTCCGACAGTATTTCATATAAAAATATATCTATGCATGGCACCAAAAAAAATCAACCTAAGCAGGTAACTTTTTTCATATCATTCAAATAGATAAATAAAAAAAATTAAACTTATAATTATCTATGTCACCACTTTTCTTTTTCTTTTTGCCACCATCTATGTCCAAACTTTTAAGCTTTTGAAAAGAGACATATTCAAATCCCCAAACTTTAATATATTGATACAATTACACAACAATAATTAAACAAAGCCATAATTCAATATTAATTATGAGTAGTTTGTTATATATGCGTAGATTGAATTTAAATTTTACTTTTAAAAATGTCAACTCAGGGTTGTTTGGTTTTTCCTAAATGTAAGTGATGATAAAACTTCTCTTATATACTTACTTCATATATCATAAAATTATTTTTAAAATTATAGTCTATTTTTCAACCAAACAACGCCAGAGAGCAAGATAAAGATGCCTACTTCATTGGTCATGTCTTTGCCAAACCAACCCAATTTTTTCGTGGGCTTAGGGAATCAACTTATTAGATATTAGGTCTACCTTCCCAGCTCTGTATTTAAGTTTTAAAAAAAAATACGTGTTGAATTTTAAAAAAAATTATATTGACTATTCTTATAATTGTCTTAACAAGTCAAAATCACATATTTATCATTTTGAAATTCCATAGATATTTTTCTATCATTTTTTTATTTAAATAATTCTTGTTGGGAAAATAAAATGCTTATAAAAATCTCTTTATCTTTTTATTAAAAAGAGAACACAAGATCGCATCATATTAATGCTAATTGCCAGGTACGTTGTAGACTTGTAGGCACTCAATTTTTTTTTTTTTTTGAGCTGAATAGTAGGCACTCAAATTATTATTACTCCCTCAGGTCCAAAATATAACTCCCGTTCACCAAATTTATTAATTAATCGGGTTAAAAAAAATTACAACAATTTTTACAGTTACCCCTACTAAATTCTTAAATAACATTAATTAACTCTCACATTGGTAAATTAGGAAAAAGAAGAGGAAAGTCTTGAGAAAATGCTTATATTTTAAAACCAAAAAAAATTATAGATTTGGAAAGTGTTTGGATAGAAACCAAACCATAGTTTCAGAAGTGCTTTTACGGATTACGAAGTAAATATGTGGAGGAGGTTACCTCGTTTTGCGAAAAAGTGCTTCTGAAACCACGGTTTTGGAGCACCCAAACAGGCCCTTGGACTTATGCTTTGGAACAAAGGATGCACACGTTTTTTTTTTTTAAAAAAAAACAAAAGCAATGCATTCATAAAAGAATACAAAGGAACGATCCGAGAAAGAGAGTTGGCAGAAAATTATCCCACACCTACACGGCTACTAACACTGCCATTAGCCATACAACCATTGCTACTAAAATCAAATACATAAGCCTGCAGTTCTACAACATTAAGAGCATCCTTCTCTAAAATATGTTGAAAATGAGATGGTGCTGTAACAAGCATTCCATTGGAAACCATCCCATTCTTTGCACAAGCTGCTAAGTAGTCTGCAACATTATTTCCACTCCTTGAAACCACAGCGAGCTGAACATGAGACCTAGCCTTCAAAAGTTCCAGAATGTCGGCAAAAATACCAGTACATTGCCATTCTATATTACAAGATGAACCATTCCTAGCAGCCCTGTATAATTCCAGACAATCAGTCTCCAAACTGATCTTCTCACAATTGAAATGATCACTAAAAATTATTGCATCTTTACAAGCAAGACACTCAGATTGGAAGGGGGAGATTGCAGCAAGGATGCACACGTATTAAGTGATTTAATTTTAAGCGTTTATGTGAAAAAATAATCTCGATTCCTTTTTATGCCCTCCGTCTAATCCTGAATTCCTCATTCATCTGTGTACCCGCCTAATAAATACAATACCCAATTAACCAATTTGACTGATCGCGCAATTGTGTTTATTATGCAATAATTTTTATTTCTTAAGATGAGTTTTAGAAAACCATTCTTCTATGAGATTTGAGTGACTGAACAACAGGCCTTTTTTTTGTTTGTTAATTGATTGAATCATTAACCATTATTTAATAATGTATAGGATATACTTAAAATACTTACTTCTCAATTATATCATGCGTTTTAATTTAAAAATTTGATACAGCCCTTTCTGACAAATTTAATTAATATATTTCTCCGACTTTAATATCCATCATTCGTGTTAAATATTTTATTACGTGTATCACCAATTCATCATTCATAATTCAATAAATTCTTAGAAAATGCATGGCATTGATATCACCAAAACAATCAAAACAAAAACAAAGGAATACCGCTCAAACTCATATTTGTCAAAATAGTTATGGCTTGATAAGAAGCAGATAATTAATTTATAGAAATTAAAAAATTTAGTTCAATTAGTCATTTGTAAAAAATATGTATTGTCTTAGTCGTTTTTAAACTATTAACTTTAAAAATCATGTACTTTATAATTACTTATAAATGGAAATTTTCTTAACATGTGCCATTAATAAGAATAATTTAGTAAAAAATAAAAAATTTAAGAAGATAAATTGGAAGAAGAACTTACTTTTAGAAACAACTCCCAAACTAACTCAAAATATTTTAAGATCATTGAGTAATAATTAAAGCAAAACAAAGTCTTCCTCAGTTCTCAAAAACCTTCCGTGGGTACGTCTCTGCGTATCAATGGGGATCACCTGTCTTTCTCCTCCTTCTTTTCATTTGCATCTTCCACCAGAACCCACCGCTTCTTTGTTGGGCAAGTCGGAGTCGTCAACAATCCTCCAGGTTCTTCTTATGAAGCCACCGTCATCTCTCACGTCTCCGACAACGGCTCCTACGTCGCCAAGTACAACACACTCTTGGACGGCGACAGTTACAGTTTCCTCACAACTGACGGTTTACCCTACTAACTGCTGGCAACACCTGCAAAAATAACAAAAAAAACATGATTCGGGTCGTGTTCAAGGACACTGTCCTTTAGAGTTATTCCACTACACAAGTTAAAATAAAAGGCAGCACTTCTTAGGATTCCCAAGATTAAACAAACCCTTCCTACGTAGAGCAAAATGACAAATCAGCAGAAATTTGAAACTCAGGAGAAGAGAGAGAAGAGGAGAGCTTGGGGTAGAACTCAACCTGCTCAGACTATACACCACACATTGCCTTTTATAAGCAAATAATATGTGACCGTTGGGCTACCATATAATGGTGATTAAGTATGGTTTTAATGATACTTAAAAAGAAAGTTTTTAAACAATTAATTAAAGTGAATTAAAACATTTTAAAGCTATTGAATATGGTTTATGAAAGAATAAAATTGACTAATTAAGATATATAAATGCTTCAACGGTCATTTCTAATTATCAATTTTAAAGACTTCTTTTCATAGCTATTTTATTAGCTCAAACTCACATCTTACTACATACTAAGGTTTTCTCAATCTTGAGTACTATAAAACTGCTTTTGACACACTCACACACACTAAAACTCTAACACTAATCTCCGTCCAATTCTGCCGCCGCTCGTCGTTTCACCAGCCGGCTTCTCTCTGAACCAAATGCTGGACGCTTGCGATAATGAGGACTGGCGGATCACGACCGTCACCGCAAGAAGAGGCTCCGATAGTCCGATTACGATTATGTTTACTGTGACGTCGTGGACCGTGACCTTGGGTTCCATTCTTCTGGGCTTAGGGTTCATCAAGATTGGATTGGTGGATGCTGGGTTTTGCCCTAGAGGTTTCAAGTTTTGATTCTTTTCGTCATCTGACCCTCTCTCTAATTTTTTTAGCGTTTGTTTGTACGACAGTTGAAAGTAGTTATAAATCATAAGTGCCAGCTGCAACGAGCGGTGTGTAGCAAAGAAACAAATTCCGAACTGCTGATATTGAAGCTAATCCAAGGTATATATCCTTATCAGTTTTATTTTGTTTATTTTATTTTTTTCCCAAAAATTGTTTCTTACTTTAAATTTTAGTGTGGTTTTATTTGAATGAAACTTGGGGTATTTTTGTTTTTGATACAGTCCGTTTTAATCATAACTTTATCACCCTAATTGTTCACGTGTTCAATAAAAGTAGGTTATAAATAAAAATATGTCAAATAAAAATTATTATAATATATTAAATTCCATTATTGTGTTGTCGAATATTAACTACTTTCCTTTTATTGAACAACTAATAATGAAGAATCATTATTTGATTTGAAAATCTACATATACTTTCCTAATAATGATTAATGAAGAATCATACTTTCCTATTTCATCCTTCTTCAATTACGACTCTAATTAATTCATTCTGCAATAACTTCAACTTTTCCTAATCCATTCACAAAGCAATATATCGTCTTCCACTCTTCCTCACTTCTGAAACTCCAAAACCCTCCTTCTTGTCTCTGTATCAATGGGAATCGGCCCCTATCCTTCTACTTCTTCCTCTCCGTCCATGCCTCCTTCTGCAGTTTCCGTCGCACCCAAGAGCTTCTCCGCCGGTGAAGTCGTCGAAGTCATCAACAAGCCTCCAGGCTCTTACTATGAAGCTACCGTAATCTGTCGTCTGGCCAATGGGTCCTACATCGTCGAGTACAACGCACTGTTAAACGACGAAGAAAATTACAGCTTTCGCAGAGAAACCGTTTGCCCTAATGATCTTCGCCCTCTGCCGACATCCATTCACATTTCAACCACTGGGTTTTCTGTGAACCAAATTGTGGATGCTCACGACGAGGAAGGTTGGTGGCTCACTAAGATCACCGGAAGAAAAGACTCCGACCCCGATTGCTATTTTGTTTACTGTTACTGGAATCCCGTGGACTGTGACGTTGAGTTCCATTCCGGTGAGCTTAGGGTTCATCAAGAGTGGATTGGTGGAGATGACTGGGTTTTGCTGTAGTGGTTTCGAGCAGTTCTTGATTCGATTCACTATCTGAATCCTTTTTTAGTTTAGATTTCTTTAGAGATCTTTCCCTAACGTTTTGGAGGCAGTAGTTTGTCTTAGTTGGATATTTCTTGTGTTTCAAGTTAGTGTGATCTTTAATTTCTAATTGCGGTTCTTTCTTGGGGGTGATTAATCATTGATCAGATTATTTGATTTTGATTTTCGAGAACCGGAGAGTTCAGAATTTATTAATTATTCAAAATATAAGATTTTTACAGGTTAATTTTTGTTTTTTTATGAGAGCATCTTAATGTTTGTTGGGTAGCTAAATATATATATATATTTGATTTGATAGATCAATTGATTTACAATGAGATTTCTATTTTTTAAAACGAATTAAACATTCACTATTTTTTTTACAAGTGAATAATACTTTCTGGTAAATTTTATTATTATTTTTAATTAAGCATAATTGTTTTTGTCTGTTCCTTTTTAATTTAATCCAAGCGCGGCAAAATAAATCCAAATAACTCGCAAAATAAATTGTATTCAAATGAGTAAAACGGCTAGCTAGATACCATATATACAACAGTCAAAAAAGATGGCAAAGGGCAAAAAAACAGTCAAACAAAACAAAACAGAGCATATATCTCGGGTTCTGTAACTTAACTCAACCAATCCCATGCAACTTGAAAAAGGTTATTGATAAATAATAAAAGTTGATTGTAGCCAAAGTCACTTGGCTCTAACACAGTATTAACACCAAATATCTCCTTAAATGTAACTTAAGTACTGCTCCCTCCCTTACTATAAAATTTTTTTAATTAAATTACGTATTTTAAAAAATTAGTTAAAATTAGTTAAAAGCAATTAATATGTAACAAATGTAATTCTTTTTCAAATATACCCCTATATATAAATAAGTAAATATGAGAGAGTAATAGTGAGATAAATGAAAAAAGAGAATGTATTAAATGTATTAAATTAGAGGTAAAATAGGTAACAATGCATTAAATGTCCAGACAAACTAAAAAAAAATCTTATAAAAAGGGACAGACTTAGTAAAAAATTGAATCTTATAGTAAGAGATGGAGAGAGTAAAAAGGTTGCATGTTAAATTAAATTCCTTGTAATGGGTGTGTGAATTTATTCTGATGAGTGGAGAGTTTTTTTTTTTAAAGTCGATTTTAATTATCATATGTCATTCTAACAGATCATCTATTCATGTTGGGAGAAAACAGTTGGCATCGAAAAAATGTGTTTAAAAAAACTCAAAACACAACATATTAAAACTACAATAGATTTGAGTAGTAAAATGCATGGTGTTAGGAAAACAAAGGTTTGGCAACCAGAAACCAAATACACACCCAATAATTGGCAATTTTATAGCTATACAAAAGATACAATGTAATTAAATTGATGTTCCAATTTTATAGCCAACAAGACAACCCCCCCCCCCCCCCAAAAAATGTCATTACTAGATTGAGAGGATTCAGCTGTGGTTGACCTTTCCTTTCAATATAGATATCGATATTCAACCTCATAAATAACGCAATTTGAAAGATATAATTTATCACAAGTTTTTTTTTTTGGGGATGAATCAAACTCTATTTATTTACCAATAATTTTTTAATCCAAACATTATATTATCTCTAGTCCTAATTATAAGATATCGTTTATAGTTTACAAACAAAACTTTATAATTAGGATCGAATGTAGTATTATGATTACAATATGGACGCACGTTGCTTTTTATTAAATATTAATACTAGAATTTCACCCCCAAAAAAAGATTAATATATTAAAATTATAAACAAGTGAATTTGATCCTAATATCAAAACTAACAAGAGAATAATTAATATGTTGGGAAAGTAATCATTTTGTTCACTTTACTTTGACATATTAGATAGACTGATAGAGTTTGAGATGTGATGCGATAGCTATGATTTTATTAAAAAGATTCGCTCTAGTTAAGTTGAAGTATTTACGGGTAATTACTTGTATATAATAATTTTTTATATATTTAATATTTAATACTACCTCCGGTCCTAATTATAAGACCCAGTTGACTAATTTGAGGAGATTAAGGAAGTAAGTTAAGTTAGTTATTTATAATAAATAAGTGTTGTCATTCCTAAAATATCCTTGTTAATTAAATGTATTAGTTAGAACTATCATTATTAGAAGGACTATCTTGAAAAAAATACATAAATATAGAGATATAATGGATCAGGGTCTTATAATTAGACCAAACTAAAGTCAAACGAGGTCTTATATTAAAGACCGGATTATGAATGGAATTTGATATTATGTTTCTGGTAAAAAAACATTGATATTAATATTAATCGAAGCACATGCACCTAAAGCATGAGTCAAAATTATCCAATTCTCATAATAGTATAAATGTTATCAAATTATATCTCATAATAAAAATAGAAATAAAATATTACCATTTCTTATAAATTTAATACTTAATATTGAATGAATATTGTTATGAACACTAATGATGACTTGATGCACATTGGCAATTAGAGTAAGAAATCCAAAGTGAGATTTGATTAAAATTAAAAAGACTTCTGAGTCGGGCCTATATTTCACTTTCACAAGTTGCCTTTTTTGAAAAATAGATAATGAGTAATTATCCACTGGCAAAATAATAATAATGAATCATCATCCAGTGCCCACAAAAAAAAAAAAAAAACTCTGTTACGCTTTCCTGTTTTTAATTTGCCTATAAATATTTCCAAACGGCCACCCCCTGTTTCTTTCGTACCCCAAGTATTCTCTTCATCCAGTTTCGATCATTCATCTATCTTCTCGAATCCCGGGAAAGAAACGATGCGGCCTCCGATCAAGAAAACCAGCTATGGCAGAGGGCAGGGCGTGGAGGTCTCTGTCAAGGAAGAAGGATTTCATGGATCCTACTTCGAAGCGAAGGTGGTTTCTTACCTCGACAATGGGCTCTACATCGTCCAGTACCAGACCTTGCTGGAAGACGACGAGTCCAAATTTCTGACTGAGACTGTGTACCCTAAGGAGCTTCGTCCTCTGCCTCCGGCCATCCCTGTTCGCCGGTTCTCCGTTAAGCAGAAGGTCGATGTGTTCGACAAGGACGGGTGGTGGGTCGGCGTTATCACCCGAAAAGATGGCCCCGACGGTTATTTTGTGTATTTCTGGACCACGGACGAGGAGATCGCTTACCCTTCCTCTCTGCTTCGGGTTCATCAGGATTGGATCAACGGCAAGTGGGTTTTGCCCAAGAAAGCTCGCTCTTAGTTTATATATATATACACACATAGAATCGCTGGGGTTTCAGGAACTACATTTTTTTGTTATGTGGAATTCTGATGTAAGATTTACGAACTATATTTTCTTGTTATATAGGATTGTTCTGAAGGACTGCTCGTTCTTCTTGTGAGTTCTGTAGATTAATTCTGCAGACAGTGAGCTGTTCTTCTTTATGCTCCCAACTAGCTGTTCTTATTATTATTTTTTCTTCTCATGTAGTTAATCCCTCATGCTCTGTTTTCACATTCTTTTTTTTTAAAAAAAAATTTTTGGCCCAAGAAACCAACATTGTCAGTGGCTGGCTTTGCTTGTCATGTGGCAGACACTTATGCTCGTTGGTTTTGATTCAGGCCTTGGTCCAAAAATATAAAAAGAAAAATGGATTTTGATTTAGTCCTTGGCTCCTTGCTATACTTTTTTTTTTGGGGGCAATCCTGGCTAGTATATCTTTTTGGTATAGATTCTTTTACTGTGTTCATCATCTAGATATGAAGATATAAAGAATCAGATTTACAAGATTTCGCAGTGACTAATGATTATGATTTGAGGAGTTGTTGTTATTATTATTATTTATTATTATTTTGTGTGCAGAAGATGATTCGTCCATCTCTCTCTGTTTTTTTTTCATCCCTAGCTCTAGATGGGATACGATCCAGGTTATAAAGGTCTTCTGGTGCGTACCCTTGCCCTTGGGTTCAGCTGGCAAAAGAATTAGACACTCTAATATGGAGGGGTTTGATCCTGAAGTTGGTCGAAGTGTTAGGGAAGACATCTTCACAGCTTAAAAATTGGGAGATTCTTACTTATTGGGCTAAATGAAAAAGAACTTATTTCATGTTCCTAGGGACAGACCTTAACGAATAATGAGTTAGTTTTTTTTGCTCTTGAATTATAGGTGAACCTGACCCTTCCTAAAATTTAACCAAAAAAAAAGTCTTCTAGTGCTTTGTTTTAGTTTCTCATATATCAGTTAATTTAAATTAATATATCAATCAATTAATTAGTCCATAAATCAATTAATATATCTTTATCGCCAATATCAGCATATAAATATATTCAATCACCAGTAGTTTAAATTATATGTATGATATAAAAGTTGTAAAAAAGTTATGCACCTTATTATTTTTGATAGCATTCAACCACCATGGAACCTCCAAAATCATTTTTAAAAAATGTAAATTGAGACAAAATTTTCCACACATATTTATCCCGACTCTCTAAAATCACTTCTAAAAAGCTAATATAAACACGCATATACTTGTCTATATGTACTCATTATGTTATCTAGATGGCATTCAACCATTAAGGTGGCTGGTTCACCCAACTATGGTCATACTAGTCTTAATTAAAATAATGTTTTCAAATAATGCGTATAAAAAGCAAATAACCTAGATAACATTTATTCATCTATTGTCTATTTGTCCAAATATGCCTTCAAATGTTTGTTCATATAATTTTTTTTTTAAAAACCAAAGTTCATATAAGTTCCATACATTACAAACTAACAAGATCTAACACATGATGCCCACTCAAATACTATTTATCCTCTATTACAAATCATTAAAATCATCAAGTATGCCTGATCAATTCTCCAACTAAATTAGCACAAGCTTTCATAATTAACCAGAATTACCAATAAATAATCCAATATATATAAATTTTTTTGGCCAAAATCCAATATATATAATAATATTAAATAAAAACCAATCAAAAGAGAAATAAAACACAAATTAAAATAATTTTGGATTATTTTAAAAAAAACAATGTTGACCAATATTAGGCGGTTCACTTTTCCCATGGGTCTAGTGGATGCCTGAGCTGGATCATCGGAATGTTGGACCGGCCATACCAGCGGGTCTGATCCGGTTCATATAACCATCTTCTATTACAGCACATGGGTTCTCATATCTATATTAACTAATTAATTAAGCTTCCTTAATTTTCCCTCTGAATTTGTGGTCCGATAAACCAAGCTTAACAAAGGAAACCTTTGCTTATAAAACAAGAAGAAGGGCATACAATTTCTAACAGGAGAATGAGATCTTTTGAATAGTTAAATATTTTTGTTATTAATAGACTACCTCCGATCCTAATTATAAGACTATTAATAACAAAAATATTTAACTATTTAGAAGATTTCATTTACTAAAATGAGGTTTTATAATTAGAACCGGAGGTAGTATCACATAAAATGCATGCTAAGGTTAATTTCTGACATTTATAAAATATATATAGAAATTTTTTTATAATTTGATATAATGTAAATTTCCCCTTGTTAACACAGAAGATTGCACCCATAGTAATTAATTAAGGGTCCAAATTTTTAATTAATGTAAAAAACGTGTTTGTTATATCAGTACTAGTCTGAGGATATGTGTGTATATATATTTTCGATCGTTCATTTTGTAAATAGTGACATCTTTTTAAATTGATCAAAATTAAGTTTTTAACATTCAAGGACAGAGGAAAGTTTTATATACAGTTTTAACAAAGCCAAATATACATAAGCAATTAAAAACATGATCGGAGGAAATTAATATAGTGAAAATTAAAATGAACAACATAAGAATATATGCAACTAAAGATGATTTCAACTTAAAACATTTTCAAAAAATCTGTATATTACATGAATTATAATGACTTGAAGGGGGTGTTTGGCAACCCTCAAAATCACTTTTGAAAAGCACTTTTCCGCAAAACAAGGCAAACTCCTCCACATATTTACTTCGTAAACTGTAAAAGCATTTTGAAATCATGGTTTAGTTTCCATCTAAACACCCCCGAAATAGCAATGCCCTCAATCCATTTATTATTGGATTATAAATATATTGTTATCCCACCAAAAGTTTATTGTTTTTTTGCCCCCAAAAAGGTCAATTTGATTCGTTCAGAAAGAATAAAATTAACATATGTAGGGGTGAGCATTCAGTTTTTTAGTTTGGTTTTCAGTGATAACCAAATTAACTGAATTTTAAACACCGAACCGAAATTGATTAATTAAACAAACCGAAATTGAATTAACCGATTAACTGAAATATATAAATATAAAAAGTGATTTTAAATTAAAAATAATGATGAAACAGAATTACACCCATTAATTAATAAATATTTCATCATTCAATGTGATTTATTATAATAATATTTATTGTGACCATATTTATTAAATATAAATATATTTAAAGAGTTCATATATACCCACATATATTATAATATTTGTTAAATATAAATATATAATATATTTATTTCGGTTTTTTGGTTATAATCAAATTTTTTTTCTATTAACTGAACTGAACACTGAAATCAAATTATTAAACAAATAAAAATTGAATGTATAACCGAAAACCAAAATAGAATTTGGTTCGGTTTAGTTTTTGGTTATGATTCGGTTTTGCTCACTTCTAAACGCATGTAAGACGCATGTATCTTACAGAAGCGCAAGTTTAAGTTTTGTCGTTAGAATTTAGCAAACAAGTTAAATATTTCTATTTTCAGCGGGATAATTATTTTGACCTTAATTATTCTCCCTAGTCATGCAACTTATATAAATTGAAAAAAAGTGCAGAATTTTATATGTTCATTTATTGCTGTTGATATTAATTATATTGACCGCCATATTAAGACATGGCAGTCATGCATTATAGGGACAAATTTAGTTAGACCATGATATTGCTATTAATGACATCAGTTAATAGTTTAAAAATCAATCAAAATTCACATCATAAAACCAAACTAAGATAGCTAAACTAATTCAATATGAATAATACTTTCATTTTACTGTTGCAGCACTTTATCTCTCACATACTATGTTCAATTCTTATTATAAGAATTAGTTAGAGATTAATTTTAATTTTAAACATAAGATTTTAATTCATTTTAATTTATCCCACATACTTATATTTTTTTGTTTTCAAATTATCAGTATTGATTACACATATTAAAGGAATTTGCGTTAAAAGGTAATTTCAATATAAATAATTTTAAGAAAAAATTTAGAATAATCAACACATATTTTTAACAAATAATTAATTTAACAAGTTTTTTAATTTATCCAAATTAATTAATTATATCTTGTATTAAGCACAGGAGGTAGTACGATATTTTTATGACTATTTCCATTTCCCCTAACTATAACCACTCAGGGTAATTGTAATTAATGGTTTTTCTAAACTTCAATTTTGATTCAATGCTGCTGGCAAAAAAAAAAAAAACTTTGATTCAATGCATGGTCATAAATATGTATATATATACTATCTCCGGTCCTTAATATAAGATATTGTTTGATTTTTATTTTGGTCTTAAATATAAAACCCCAATCTACTTTATTTTTAATATTTATGTATTTTTCTCTAAGATTGTCCTTCTAATAATAATAGTTCTAGTCAACACACTTGATTAGTAAGGATATTTTAGAAAAAACAATACTTATTAATTACAAATAACTAATTTAATTTGTTTTTTTAATCCCTCAAATTAATCAACTAACTGTTATAATTAGGAGGTAATATATATTTTCAATCTGGTCACATGCGCGCGCGCGCACATATCGGAAGAAATTCAAAGTTAGTTTTGTATTCAATGCAGTCACATGTGAATTGTGATTATCTGATGGGACGCTATATATATCAAACTCCAAAGGGAAAGGGCAGCTAAGCAAAGAAGATAATCAGAAGTTATCCATTGAACTGCACACACACTAATTTATGACAACCATTAATGATCTAACAGACAGATTTTGTCTGTTGAGCTGTACGAAGATCAGAAGTAACAGCAGGAAGTAGTAGAGATAGCCGCCGAGGAAGAAGGAAGATGATGTCCGGAGCAAACGAATATTCCAAAATTAAATATAAAACTTGCTCATTTCATTCCTCAAGATTCTGCAGTAACAGATAATGAAAGCTGACAGCACTATAGGAATATAAAAAAAACATACATAGCCATCCATATCTCCTAGCTAGTATCAACCGGTGACAGCACGCAGAAACATACAG